GGCTGGGTCCCAGGGTCCCCTTCAAAGGTCATGTCACCAGTGACCTGACTTCCTCCCACTAGGCCCCACCTCTTAAAGGTTCCGCCAACCCCCAATGGTGCTGTGGGCTGGAGACCAAGCCTTCCACACCAGGGCCTTTGGAAGACACTTATCTAAACCACAGCAGACTCCTTCTCATCCCAGACTCCACTCCAGCCCTCCCACTCTGTCCCTAGAGTTCTTGTTATGGCTGTGACCCCAAGAGGTCAGGGCTGTGTCACAGACTGCAGAGGACACCAACTGCTGACGTTGTGACACTTTGGCCTTATGGGCCACAGGGTTAGCTTGAGTGAGTACCATGTGCCCACGGAGGCTGCAGACCTGGTGTTTTCAGGGTGCCCTGTGTGCCTGGCACTGCTCTGAGCTGCTCACATGTGTACATGAGCTCATGTCCTCCTCAGGATCTGTGAGGGAGGCACAGCCCGGCAGGGTCTGGGTGGTCCCCGTAGATTTGGGGCTGGAGATGTAGCACAGGGCCACCTGTGAGCTGTCTCAGGTTCTGAAGGGAGACTCTGGGAGGGGATGCCCAGGGCATCTGGATAAGGAAATGGAGCCTTAAGAGGGGGCCTGAGCCAAAGTCATGGGGTGGTGGACACAGAGCCTGTGTCTGCACCAGGCCTTGGCCCTGTGTGCCATAGGGCTCCCTGACCCTCCTCGCTGGCTTTTCCAAGCTGTGCTCAGGCTCCTCTGGGCTCACGGGACCCCCGTGGCTGGATAGCATGGCTCTGCATGGAATGGGCAACAGGTGCTTTTCTCCTGAGTGCAAACTGCTCTGCTGGGCACTGTGCATCAGCTTGTTGGAGATGGCAGCTGTGAGTGTTCTCCCTTCTCTGGTGGGTCCCTCGTGTCACAGGCTGGTGCCTAGTGCCCTGGCTGCACTTCCTGGTCGCTTTGCACTTGGCAGTGCACCACACTTATTCCGAGCAGAGCTTCCTTGTGGCTCTGTCATCCTTCCAGCCAGGGGAGCTGTCCTGCTTTCTCTATCACCTTGGCGTTTTGCTGTTCTGGTGGGTTTGGTGACATTTGTGCACGTGGTGATATTGCCGTCTTCTCCACTGCTGCGACTGCTTCCACAAGTGCGAGGAGGGCCCATTGGAGTGCTAATTCTGAGTGCTCGGAGCCCATTAGCCCACACACATCCTGTGTTCCTATACGGGATGTCCTGCCCCATCTGTGTGCCTTGTCACCTGCAGGAACTTCTGGTGTGTCTGGCCCTGGGAGCCAAACGACCTCCCCCAAAGCTGTGTGTGCCTCTGTGTAGTGAGTTTTTGCAGTGTAGCCTTCTCTCCATACATGCTATCTCTTGCCCTATCCGTGGTGGGGGCTGCCCACCGGGTGCCTCATCCAGCACTGTGCCAGGAACTCAGTAGCTGTTCAACAAAAGTGGTCTAATGATGTTTCATCAGCTCCACGTCCATGCCCTGTTTCACAGAGACTGGGGTACAGGGTACAGCTCTGCTCCAGGACCTTTTCTTTTGTAATTCCCAAGAGATGTGAGTGAAGTGGGGTGACCCATGGCCGGAGTCACTCTGTGGCCTCAGAGATTTTGTGTCCCCAGGTTCACCTGAGTGTACTCTTGGCCCTGGAGCTTAGATAGTGTGACAGTTTCATCAGCGAGGCACAGAAAGGGCTTGCAAGATGTGGGGCTGGCCAGGCAGAGGCTGGGGTGCTGTCCCTGAGGCCTGGAGCCTGGGGCTGTCTGTGCAGAGCCCCACTGTGCCAGGCTGGCTCCCAAGGGCTCTGCAGCTCTGGCCGGCTCTCCCTGAGGTCTGGGTGGTGTTTGTGGAAAGCTTTTCTACTTCTATAGAGAAGCCTTGGCTGTGGCTATGGTTGGGATTTGGTATATGTGGTGGGTTTTCTATGTGTGGTGCGCTACTCAGAAATCTAGAAACGTGCATTCTCCACACTACAAAGGGGGTTTCCGCTTGCATCTCCTGCATCCTCGAGTGTGGAGACTGTTGATGGAGGCAGGGAAGTCAGGCTGCAGCAGCCTCTTCTCGCCCCTGCCCCACTGACACCCCGTCTGCCTGGGCTCAGCAGCAGTTTGGCCCTGGGTAGTTAACGAGGAGGCTGGACTCTGGCCAGAGTCACCTTGTCCGTGTTGGCCTGAGGGCTGTTCCTTCCCACTTGGCCACCCTGGGGAGGCTGGGACTACACAGGAGTAAGCATTTCAGTGTTTGCAGTGCGAAACTCATCCATTGCACTGGGTTCTGGTGCGCGCGTGCGCGCACGCACACACACACACACACACACACACATGCACACAGACACTCCGGTACTCTGTTATGAGGAAGACTGGGCCTCCTCAGGATTTTGATCCATGTGTGTTTGGCGGAGGTGTACGGATAAAGGACCAAAAGGGGCAGGAGCAAGGCGTGGCAGCGGTGGTGGAAGATTGGGCCTTGAATGGAGTAATAGCAACCAGATGGCAAAGCGGGCAGCGGGGTGTACACTGGGACTTCCTGTCGAAGGGCAGTGTGCCAGAGGGGAACAGAAGAACTGCACAGTGGGGAAACCCACAAGCCCTGGTCCAGCCTGGAGGGCAAGGCTGAGTCATGTGAATTAACCGAGTGAATCACGCTGACAGCATGCCCTCCTGTGATGAGAAGGGTGCTTTATGGCGGAGGGATGCCTCCCTGGAACCAGTAACCTCAGGCTAATCATGCCAAAAAAAACTTCAGACGGATTCCCGTTGAGGAACATTCTCAAGATACCTCCGGAGTCATCTCCCAAAATGTCAAGGCCACGGAGAAGAAGGAAAGTCTGAGAAACTGTCCCAGTCAGGAGGAGGCCGAAGAGACCTGATGACGGCATGTGGTGTGGTATGCTGGAGGGGACCCTGGAACACAAGAAGGAAACACGGGAGAAACACCGGGACGTGACCGGACTCTGGACTGTGGGTAACAGCAAGGGATCTGTCCTGCTCCACTGATTGTGAAAATTATACAACACTAACACGAGAGGCTGACAGTAGAGAAGATGGTGGAGGTAGATGAGGACTCGGTTCAGTCTGCTTAATTTTTCATAAGTCCAAGACTTCTAAAAACATAAAGTCTATCAGGAATGCTGGCCTTCGGGGGCCAGGGGAACTGAGGGGCTGTCCTAGCTGGCATGCTCAGGGTTGTCAGCCAGGTTCCCTTGGCCTGCAACCTCCGGCCAGCAGCGTCCAGAGCTCTGCTTCAATCTTGTGTTCCCCAGCACAGGGGTGAAGTGTTGAGGTCCTGGGTACTGCCCACCCCATCAGCCCGCAGGGCTCACAGGGCCATCTTTAGAGCAGGGAGCAACACTGACCGCAACAGACGGCATTGACCAAAGCTGACGTGCATGCGGGTGCTGGGCCAGCAAGGAGACAGAAGGGAACGAACATCTGCGGGGCTGAGCTAGCACTGAAGATGTATGGACAAGGCCATGCTGGTCGGTCTACCTTGTTCCCGTAGAAAGGAAAGTCTGGTGGGGACTCAGAAAAACAAGTCCAGCAGCCAAAGTCCCCACCTGCAGGTCATGTCAGCTGCTTTCACTTCTGTAAGTGTCACTTCCTGTGCTTTAGGTAGTCCTGTAAATAGGCGCTGGCCTTTGTTCTGCAGCCAGCAGGGATGGCTAGGGTTCAGTGGAGAGGCAGACAGGCCTGCCAGAGGCCATTGTGACTTGGCTGAGTGACAGCCGGTGCATCACCAGCTCCTTCGCTTGTAGTGGTGATGACCCACTGGACAAGGTGGGAGTCATGTCTGGCTGGGACCTGCTGATGGAGTCGTGGTGTGGGAGAGGCGGAACCATACGGCAGGGCTGGAGATGGAAAGGCCGAAAAGGCCAAGCGCCTATCCTGTTGAGAATCACTGTGGTTTGCATAAGTGTCCCCCAGGGGGTGCTATGTTAAAAGTTTGGTCCTGAGACTGACACTATGGAGAGGTGCTGTGGACCTTCTAGAAGTGGAGTGGAGGGAAGCCTGTATGTAGGTCATTAGGGCTGCATCCTTGAAGAGGATGTTGGGACCCTGCCCCTTCCTCTTCCTCGGTCTCTCTTCTGCTTCCTGCCCAGGAAGTGAGCTGTTCCCTCTGTCACAAGCTCCCCACCATTGCCATCCGATATGCCCACCAGAGGCAAAGTAATAGGTGCACCTGACCCTGGACTGGAGCCTCCGAAACCGTGAGCCAAAATAGACCTTCTCTCTTCTAATTACCTCAGGCGTTTTGTTATAGTGAAGAAAGCTAACACAGGGACCCAGGGCAAATCCCAGCCTCCTCACTTGTCCCTGAGTCAGGCAGAAGAAATAATTTCTGCAGGTCTTACCACTCATTCAAATTTTTTGATAAAATTAGGTTGCACCATATGAAACTGCTATTTTTGTATGTCAAAAGTGGTCAAATAAAGGCAATTTCATATGCTTTAGTTCATTTTAGCATTAAAACAGTTTTGGCAAGAGCAAACACTTCTTTTTAAAATTTCGTTTTTAGTTATGACATATACACAAATTCAGTGCATTAGAAAATAAAGATAAGCAAAAAGAAGGAAGAGGGGGCTGGGGATTTAGCTCAGTGGTTCCGTCACCTGCCTCGCAAGTGCAAAGACCCATGTTCGATTGCTGGTACCAAAAAAAAAAAAAGAAGAGGAAGAAGAAGAGGAAGAGGAAGAAGAAGAGGGAGAAGAGGGAGAAGAGGAGGAGGAAGAAGAAGAGGGAGAAGAGGGAGAAGAGGAGGAGGAAGAGGAAGAGGGAGGCACTTGGGCTTCCTGCCAGGGTTATTGCTCAGCGGGTCTCATGCCCTGTGCTAGGCACAATCAACTCTCCACCCCTTGTCCCCTGCGCTGCCTCAGGAGCCTCTGTGCACACCATCGTGTGGGTTTGCAAGGCACTCTACAGACTTGACCCCCGGGTTGGACAGAGAAGTTCTTGAGAATGGTTTTTCTTTTTTCGATGAGTGGTGCCGTAATGCCCTTGGAGCTATATTTGTTTCTTTTCTTTTTAGATACTCAGGAGTCTTTCTTTATGATAAGTTTCCGGAAGCAGAGTTGCTGGGCGAAACTTAAGGCTTTGGATTGAGCTCCAGACACTGTGAGTGGGAGGGGCCCCGTCCTGCCCTCTGGTCTTTCTCTGCTCGCTTCCCTGTCTTCTCCTGTCTTCCCTTTCTCCTGCTCTCTTTCCTCCCCCTCTTTCTTCTTCCTTCCTGCTCCCCTTTCCCTCCCAGCTCCCCTCCTCCTGGCTCCCCTCTGCTCCTGCGTGGGTCCCCTCCTCCCTTCCTCATCCTCCGCCCTCTGGTCTCTCATCTGATGTCTCCCTCATCGAGAGGGGGTCCAGCACATGGCGTTGCAGCTGCCCCTCGGGCTTTGTGCACACAGTCCTTGTGGCCCATTTTCCCAGGTTATGACTGGTGGTGTTTGAGAAACCAAGAACTTCCGGGGAAGCCTGTGGAGAGGTTCGGAGACTTCCAGTGACAGTTATTTCGGGGGGCTTTCCTCTTTACACGCACCCACCGAGGGACTGCTGACCAGAACCTGGCCTCATATGGAATTATTTATTATAAAAACATATTTTATTTTTCTGGCCATTTGACAAATGGATCAAAGCCAAGCCCTCGCTCTCTTCATGAACCCCCAGGGATTGCTCAGGTGTGTCTGAGCAGATGGCTGGAAGGCTGCCCTTTGAAGCCTGGCCTGGTGTCCTGACATCCCAGCTGTAGGTGGCCCCAAGCATCCAAGGAAAAGCTGCTGAATTCTATGGCCCCAGGAGGATTCCTGTCCTCCTTTTGCAAAGCAATAGATTCTTGGATCTGCTCTGTTGAGCTGGAAGGAAGAATTTTTAGATTTCCTCTGGTTGAAGAACTTAAAATGGAACAATCTACAGTTCCCCCAAATTGGACTTCGAAGCAAGTTCTTGGAAAAATGAACTTGATTATTTTCAATATGCACAGCAACACATTCCCTGGGAGCCTCCTGGTAACACACGTATGGTGCATATCTGTCTTGTTTTGTCCTAACAGAGGATGCCAGAGGCCAGTCAGAGTCCGAGGGAGGGAGCGGCGTTGCCGCTTGCCAGTTGCATTGCTTGTCAGTGAGGATAAACATTCCTTTCACCTCTACCTCATGAAGGGCATGAAAAGAATGGAAGGAAATAGAGAAGTGATTCTGAGCATTTTCAGTACAGGCAGTCTGCTGGGAGGCAGACTTTTTGTGTATTGTTTCATTATCTAACAATAAAAGAGCTAATAATGAAAATAAGTAGATCTGACGTCGCTGTTTTAAAAATCATGCCTTCTAGCAATTATCTTGCATCTCTGGAGGAGGAGAGAACCATTTTTCAGGCAGCAGTTTGTGGGTGAGAACCCTGGTCTCATCCACAGGGCAAGTGGCTGCATTTCTAGACCAGGCAGTCCTTTGACTTTGGTTTTGCATTTTTTTCACTTTACTTTTTTTTTTTTTGGTACCAGGGGTCGAACTCAGGAGCTTGTGCTTGCGAGGCAGGCGTGGCGCCACTGAGCTAAATCGCCAGCCCTCACTTTACATTTTTTTTCTGGTTATGAAATGAATATACAATCATGACAAAAATTCAAGCTTTACAGACATTTATAATGGAGACCAAGAAAGCCCCCTCTGGCACCCCACTGCCCCCTCCTCATTTAACTCTACCTGGATGACCGTCTTTGATTGCTTGGTGAAGAATCCTCCCTTTTTTTCTTCACTGTGGAAATATTTCACTTATGTTTTACATGAATACATATATATTTATTATTTTTAATATTTTTCAATTAAATGGGACCAAATCATAGGTTGAGCACTCCTAATCTGAATGCTCCAAAATCTGACTCTTTTTGAACACAACATGATGCCACAAATAGAGGACTGGGATCATAGCTCAATGACAAAGTGCTCGCCTAGCAAGCTCAAGACCTGAGTTCGATCCCCAGCAGTGGAGAAAAAAGTAAAAGACGCTTTAAGTGGAAAATTCCACCTCTGACATCATGTAGGCATGCTTTGATTCATGAAAAGAATTATTTAAAACATTATATGAGGTTGTATATAATTTTAAAGTGTTGTATAAAATTACATTCACATTATGTGTTTAAGGTGTATATGAAACATAACTGAACTTTGCAGTTAGACTTGGGTAACATCCCTAAGATATCTCATTACATATCTGCAAATATTCTACAATCCAAAATTTAAAAAATTTGAAATCTGCAGCACTGCTGGCCGCAAGCATTTTGGGTAAGGGACACAGAACCTGTATAAAGACTAATTAGATTCCTCCCCCGTCCTAAGCAATATATTTTAAACATCACCCCTTGTCAGTTGTGCATAGAAACATTATTCATTCTAACATTTGTGTAATATATAACTGTTTCCTTATTTTCACTCTGACGGATGCTGCCGGAATACAGAGTTTCAGACATTAAATCCATGCATATGCATGGGGATGCCTTGGTAGTGTAAGTTTCCAGGACTGAACTTGCTGGGTCCGATGGTTGGAACGTGAGATGTGACTTTATTATCGCCAAGTTGCTTTCTGGAGAGGTGATGATTGCTTTAAATGATGCTCGCTGTGTAAGGCAGCTGTTTCCTGTGGACTCGCCGGCAGACGCTCCGGACTGATCAGTCCTTGCAGTTCCACTCAGTCACATGAGTAAAATTGCAGGTTACAGTGGACTGCTCATCTGTGATTTTGTGTTTCTGCTGTCAGTAGTGGCCCTAAAATGGGGGGGGGGGCAGAGGCCCACATGGGGGAAGTGGAGGGAGAGAGAGGGGCCACATTCATGTAACTTATTACAGTAGTTTGTTAATAATTGTTTTATTTCGTTATTAGTTCTTGTTATTTATCTCTTACTGTGCCCAATTTATAAATTAAACTTTATCATAGGTGTTCATGTATATAAAAAAAACCCCACGTAGTCTCTGCTGGGCTTAATTACTACCCATGGTTTCAGATGTCTGCTGGGGTTGTGGAATAGATTCCCCAAAGATATGGGAAGGAACTACTGTGTTTCGTTTTGCATTTTAAAAAATTATGAATGAGAACAAGCTGCTTCCTATGTGCTTAATGATAACTTGAATTTCTCCTTTGACTTTTCTTTCTGTACTCTTGCCTGTTTTTCTGTCACTTGTTTAGCTTTCCTACATTGATTTATTGACACTTTAAGTCCAGCAGGGTCATTTCTCTTTTGCTATATACATTGCAGATATTTTCTCCCAGACATCTCTGTATCCCTCCACTTCGTTTAAAGGCATTTTTGGCAATGCAAAAACTTGGAATTTTTATGTTGTCATATCTATCAAGCTCTTCTTTTATAGCTCCTAAGTTTTGTGATTACTTAGAGAAAGAGCTTCCCTATCTCAAGAGCACATAAACACTCCCCTGTATTTTCTTCTAATACTTCAGAGTTCAGATTCCCTTTTAAAAAACATTTACATCTTTTATTCACCTAGAATTTATTTGTAGGTGTGGTGTGAATTATGGATACAATTTTTTATATGAACATTCAGTTTTCTAACATAATTTATTAATTCTCTCTCTCTTGGGAGATTGAACCCAGGCCCTTGTACATGCTACACATGTGTTAGACATCTATCCACACCTTTGGCTGCTACCTCTCTGCTTTGAGATACATGTTTGTGATGTGGCCAAAGGGCTAAGCAATGAGAGTGTGGTAGTTGCTGCCGGGTTCTGGTTGCTTCTCCTATGTTCTGGACTCTCCATTCTAATTTCCTGGTTTATTCTGATGTTAATTTCCTCCGCTAAAATCACTGTGGCTTTCTGTTATCTGTTAGGTGATTTGTCCTTTTGAAAACACCATAGAATGACCTGACTGAGAGGGCTGCGGCCTCACTGGGCTAGGTTAGGGTATTATGGGAATGTCGTCACGTACGTGGTTCCCCATTGACAAAAGCGCCATTATTCGGTGCACCTACTTTGTTATCTTCCAGGGTCATCTTTCCTTTTTTTCTTTCATCTTTGCCTCATTCTTCTCATATATTCCTTTGACTTAGAATAAGTTAAATTCATCCCAAAATCTGTTTGGGATTTTGATTGGGATCATTCTTTAGGTTATTTAGGAGAGAAGAGATGTCTTCAGAATGTTTTCTTCTCCCCTGGATGTTTTGGTTTACATACATACTTCACTCATGTTTGATTATTTCATTCGTATGCATGTGACACTTGTTAGATTTCAGTTGGAGTTCCTAGCCAGTGTTGTTGGTGTTGCTGGATGCTCCCCTTCTCATGCTCTGTTTTGTAGCTGACTACGACTGGTAGAGAGAAAATCTGTAGAATTTTGAGTATCGAGGCTGGGCACGTGGCTTACGTCTCAGTTGTCTTAAGTGGCTCGCTGCTTCTTCTTTTTGGATTTTCTGGGTGGGGAATCCTTTGCCAGTGTTGGCCTTTCCTTCCTCATATTTAGGTCTTTTTGGTGTTGGCCCGTTGTTGAAGTTCTTGTTTAGTTGGCTCTGCAGGCCCCTGGGTCTTGTGGCTCCTCAGCACGACCCTTTTCCTTCATGGTCAGTGGGTTGGGTTTGGAGTGGAGCCATGTGCTCAGCAGGCCCGAGGCACTTGGTCTGCCCTGAGTGGAAGCACACCGGGGTCAGCAGAGGTGGTGTCGTACTGTGTGGTCAGAGTGGGCTGAGGGAGAGGGGCCTTGTGGTGAGGCCTCCCCCTTGTGGTGGGGGAGGGCAGTGGTTCCATACAAGGCTGCTCAGCCGTCCAGCTGGGGTTCTGAGAACTGCTCAGGGGATATCAATGCCGGTGGATGAGAGCGTGTTGGTGAGTCGCTTGTCAGCCGGTTTCACCCACACTGAGCAGTGCTCCTGTGGATGCACAGGACAGCGGGGGCTGAGGTGGGGTGGGGAGTTCAGGATGTTGTGAAGCCCCCTCTGCAGTTGGTGGGTGAGCTGCAGTGCAGGTGAGCTGGTGGCTACAGGGCCAGGAAGGTGGTCCCATGCAGGGGAGCATGGTATTGGCTACCCTGGCCGAGGAAATCCTCAGCTCAACTGTGCCAAACAAATTCCCACCAGGATTAGGTGATCCAGGCCCCGGAGTGTGCGGTGCTGCTCACCTCTGCCCCTCAC